AAAATAAATTTTAATAAGATTAATTTAAATAACTCATAAGGACACTATACACAAGTCATATACAAAGGGTCAAAGGTTCAAAAGAAAGTCATCTTATCTTGATCTTTCAAAACTCAAGACCTCTTTTCACATTTCAACTCTTTACATTTTGTGATTGGATAGAGTTAACTTCCATTGTTTCATAAATTCTAGAGTCAAAATACCATTCTTGATGAGATCCTCAACCTTTTCCTTGAGCTATTTGTATTTTTCAATCCAGCTATCAATTACCTCCATATAATAATCACACTTACCATTAGGATCATAGCTCATTACCAATGAATTTGGTGTTATTTTTGGAGGCATAAGACTGAAGTGTCAGCTTTTTATTAGTAAAGGTAAAAAGTGAGAAATAGGGATTGAAAGTTTCTCTTGGTCTTTTTTGGTTCTTTGTTGGTCAAGTAGTAAGTTCAAATGTAGGAACAAAATCGTGAATGGTCATTTAAGGATAAAGATTTGCTGAAAAATCCAAATGATGGCTTAGTTAACAAAGATATAAGCTTTGAGAGATACTGCTTATGACAGGAAAATGAGGTTGATAAAAATGATAAGAATTATATGAAATGAAGTTTTTGGATAGATGCCTTCAAGTGTGACTACTTGCACCTTTCATTCATTCTTTTTTGATGCATTTTCTTTTTTAACATTAGTTGCATCTTTCAACTTAATCATGCCATTCTTGATTGTATTTTCTATCATTTTCCCAACAATCACCATGTCAGCAAAGTTTTGGCGATATTCTCAATCATTCTTACATAATAGAGAGTGTTTAGGAAATTGACAAACAAAATAGTAATTTTTTTCTCTTATAGATTGTTGTTCTTGGGTTATCATGTCTCTCTATCTGTATACATATTTCTTGAAAGTTTCAGTTAACCTTTTTTTATGTTCTGTAAAGATAACCTATTAGGAGCCATGTCTTCAACATGCTTATATTGTACTATGAAGGCTATAACCAAATCATTTTAGGAACAAATTCTATTTCGGTCTAGCTAGGCATACCACCTTACTGCAAACTCAGTAAGACTATCTTAAAAATAATGGATCAACAACTTATCATTATGAGTATAGCCTATCATCTTTTGGTAATACATGGTGATGTGTATTGAAGGGTATTTTATTTCATCATACTTCTCAAAATCTAGGGCTTTAAATTCTCAAAATCTAGGGCTTTAAATTTTGATGAAATGATAATATTAGGCACTAGACTAAGTTTCTTGGCATCAACACTCCTATATACATCATGGTCTTCAATTACCTTCAGTCTCTCTTCCAACAAGTTATATTTATCTTTCATCGCCATATCTCCTGATGGATTTTGTACTTTTTTTAGTTGCTTTAATTCTTTTGGATCATTCAAATTAGGCATAGCAATGGAGTCATAAAAAGTAAGCCTGAAATTATGGAGTTGTAAGAAGTAGGCCTAGAATTGACATTTATCTTTATTGGAGGCAACTTGACAAAAGTGTCAGAATGAGGTTGATGAGTTGGTGGAGGTGCTTGTGACTTATGAGGGTCTTAAACATATTGATATGTGAACCCAAGTAGATATGACAGTTCTTCAACGACTGTTTCCTCCTTTGCCTCATGTGTTTCATTAATTCTTTTTCCTTTTGTTAATCTTGCTAACATCTGTTTTAATTCTACCAATTGTCTGTGCATATTTTGTTGCATTCCCATAATTGTTTTTTTGATCTCTCATTGGCCCATTTTCATTCTATTCATTTGACTTGCATTTTCATTTTTCACGATATTAGTATAAGTTCGAGTGTTATAAGTGTGTAGATTTTATTGAACTCATTTCCTAGGATGCACTATCCTTGAACCTTTTATTAATTATCTAAAAGTAAGAAATATATGACATGAATTTTATTATTAAAATTTTTAAAAATATCTTTTTACTTCAAAGGTTTGATGAAAGTACACTCATAATCACCCTTCTTTGTCTTTAGCTGGCATAAAAAACAATAAATTCAAACAAATTATGCATGATATACAAGTCAAATTTTACTATTGTTGAGAACGAGCTTAAATTCCATCCTATATTAAGGTTGGTTTATTTAAAGTCATTCCTTCTGCCTTATAAGTTTAGTGAAAGTATATTTACAACCATTATTTTTTTTTACGGGCTCGTATAGGCATACCATTATATAAATGAAATGTAAACAGAGACATCTATTCATTGAAAATTCAAATTAAAAGATGTTTTCATTCATTTCCAAAAGTTTCAAATTTATACATCATGAACCAACCTAGGATTAGAGCCAAAAAGTGCTAGACTTACTCTTACTCCCTTTTGCTTTGCCTAAAAATCCAAAAGAAGTTAACTATGATCGCTAATGAGGACAACCTTTTGCTTTAAGACTTTTACTTTTTATTCATTATCCTAGCCAACTCGACTATTACCTACAATACTGCTTACCATCTTGGCATAGATTGATGAAGGATTCTTATAAACAATTAGCTTCATTTCGGATATACTTCTTTTTTTTTTAAAGCCTATAAATTCTAAAGTGTTTTTTACCTCATTCTTTGCCTTTCTTCAAAAAAAAAAAAAAACTCAAATACTCTCTAAAATAATTGACTACCTTTCCAGAAATTGGTCAGTAGCTACCTCACTAACCGTCATCTACCACCACAGTGTTGATCATTTAAGATTCCATATGGCATTTTCATGATTTTCCTTTTCCTTTTCTTTTTTTCTTTTTCCTTTTTGTTTTGTTTTGTTTTTTTTTTTGGTTTTGTTTTGCTTTGCAAAAATATCTAAAAAAAAATAGTAGTTATTATTTTTTGATTTAACAAAAAAAAATTAAAGAGAAGTAGGTGAAAGTTTTAGGTAATAAATCCACACTAACAACTAAAGCTAATAAAAACAATGTTTTTTAAACAAAACAAATATAGTAGATGACTATAATTTTATGTTTTTGATTTTTTTAAAAAATTTAGAAAGAACTATGTTTTTTATATTTGAAACATAATTGATCAATTAAAATAATAGCAAAATAATCTAGATATTTCATATCAACGATATTATAATGTGAAAAACATAGTAATTAATGTAATTTTAAAAAATATTTATAATACTTAAAAATGTAGTCTTTACTAACAAAGATCATATTTATTAGTTTGCAAACATGGTTAATATTCTATCAAAAATCATGGTTTTTGGTTGTAAAACATGATTAATAATGAATAAAAAAATTACATTTAAAAATTATTTAGATTACGTTTTCTATTCCTAAAACATGGTTAGAAACGTAATATTTGAACCATAAAAATCACATTTCTTATATGAGAAACGTAATCTTCGACATATACCTTACTCCTACAAAGAACCACAATAATTTATTTTTACAAAAAAACACAATGATCACATCTCTTACATAAGAAATGTAATTTTTGACGTATATTGACTCAACTTTGACTTTTCCTACTGCTACCCACTTGTCACCTTATTTTTCTCTCTTTTTATTTTTTTTCCTTCTTCCACATCTTGAGCATTCTAAAAACGTCCAAATTACCTTAATTGTTTTTTTTTTTTCTTTTCTTCCTTTTTCTTTTTTTTTTTAAATTTAATTGTTGGTGGGTGTTGTCATACATCACATCAATCTCTTTAAAAAAAATTACAAATTAAGGTATTATAATAAAATTACAAATTAACGTTGACTATTTGGAGGTTTTCTCTTCAATCCGAACTTCTTTTTTTGTAATTTTATAAAATGAACCTTTAAAATGTGGAATTACTTTAATCAATTTTTTTTCTTTTTATTATTTTATTTTTGAGTAAAAATAATGCTTTGTTTTTTAGTTTATTAATTGACAATTAGTTTTTTTTACTATTTTTTTTATTTTTAATTATGATTTTATGAAATTAATTGGATAAGTTTTTGAGATGATGAACTATGAATAAACTAAGGATCATTTACACTGAAATTTCTATAATAGGTTTTTTTTTTTTTAATTTACATGTGTGAATTTTGATGGCTTGAATGACTTTTGATTTTCTTCAACTACAAAAATTAAAATCTCATTGTTGAATTATTGATTAGAATTGTAGGATTTAGAAGTAAATGGAATGATATTCTTACCACCTGGTTCTATTTTTTGTGAATTCTTTTGTCTAAATTAAAAATATTTATTTATGCAATTAAATCTTAATATAGTTTGTAAAGAAAGGATGAAATATATGGCTTCATAGAATTATATAATTAACTTTGAAACTATGGAATTGTTTTGTACTCAACAACAATTATAATCTTCAAAGCTTTAGCATAAATTTGATTCATTGACATGTTTTGCTATTCTCATGTAGATTAAGTTTTGTTTTTCTTGAATTTTTATGAATTTGAAGATTTTATAACTTATTTATAGCTTTTAGTTGTTTTTTTTTTTTTTATATAAAACTTACTTTAATGCTTATGTTATATTTAGTTAAAACTAAAAAACCTATAAAAGTTAATTTCTAATAAAATAGAAAGTGAATAAAATAAAATAAAAAATTTAAGTTTTGAATTTTGATCCATTAATAAAAATATTATTTTTAGTATTGGAAAAATATTGTTAGTATAAAAATATTGAACGTGTTTGTAGATTTTTTTTATTAAACATTAATAAAGAAATTAAATATAAAATATTCATTAAAAAGATTTTAATAATTTATTGAAATTATTTTATTTAAATGTATAAGTTATAAAAAAATTTCAATAATTTATCTTAAAAATACATTCAAAACTTTGTTTTAAAAATAAATTATTAAAAAAATTATTAATCGTGACTATTAAATTTGATAATTTGTATTATCATTATATATAAAATATTTTTACATAAAAATTATTTATCACTTCAATAAAAAATATAAAATATAAAATTTTAATTTTATTAAATTTATTTATAATTTTTTAATTTTAAATCATATTATTTTTATATCATATTATCATATCATGTATCAAATTATCAAGTGTAGCGGCTACACTACGCCACGCGTTAAAGCCGCCCAATTGAAAGGAAGAATCACATGCGATTCTTCAAACGCACTAAGAGCTAAGGCATTAGGGCAGGCCTTAGCAAAAGTTTGGATTACCTAAGCTTGGAAAGCCTTTGCAGCCGTCACAATATACTCAGAACCCATGGCGGATCAATCGCCTGCCGACCAGACCGCACCGTCCACCGCCATGCAATCCCTCTCTATCAACTCCCAACCTTGCTCATCCTCTTCTTCAACTCCACAGTAAGTCATCTCTGTTGAGTTTCGCTTTTTTCTTTTTTTTTTATTAGATGGAAATCGGGTAAATTTATTTGCATAATTTTTAAAAAAAATTCTGGTTTCAGGTTGAGTGTAGAAGAGAGGTTTAGGATTATAAGAAGTGTTGGAGAAGAATGTATTCAAGAGGATGAGCTGTTGAACCTTCTCACCCACAAGCCTGAACCCATTTGCTATGATGGCTTCGAGCCTTCTGGAAGAATGCACATTGCTCAGGTTTTCTTCTATTTCTTTTTTCATTCTTCTATTCTTTTTCAACTGTTGTTTGACTGAATTCTCTCAAAATGTAGAAATTGAATCTAAGAATTGAAATCAATGCTTTATTGGGTTTAATTAATACTTCAAAGCTAATTATGGATTTATCTATCCCTAACACAATTAAAATATGACAACTTTTCATTGCTCTCATGATTTGATTTCAAGGCATTAGCTTCTTTTTAGTGCTTTGCTGATTTAATTGGTTTTGACCGATTGCTATAGTTTTTTAGCATATTTCTATTGATTTCTTTTTCGATAAATCTTTGCCAATTGCTATAGATTGTTAGCATATTTCTATTGATTTCTTTTTCCATAAATTAATGCCACTTGCCACACTTGGTACTTCATCATCATTTCAGATCTAACATGCTTTTGTCATGCACTTTGTTTTCTCTTATAATGTACCTGCCTCCATTATGATATGTCGCTGTGGAATAGAATTAGTTGTTTGGCATTTCTTTTTAATGTTTTCTCCCTGTTATAATTAAATTTGTTTCGTTATTTGTCTGTAAAAGGGAGTTATGAAGGCGATAAACGTTAACAAGCTGACCTCTGCTGGGTGTAGAGTAAAAATCTGGATTGCAGATTGGTTTGCACAGCTAAACAATAAAATGGATGGTGACTTGAAGAAAATCAAAATAGTTGGACAATATTTGATTGAAATCTGGAAGGCAGTTGGCATGGATCTAAGTGGAAAGGTTGAATTCTTGTGGTCTTCAGATGAAATTAACTCCAATGCAGCAGAGTACTGGCCACTTGTGATGGATATAGCCCGCAGAAACAAGCTTCCCAGGATAATGAGGTGTGGGAATAATAAATTTTGGATTTTTTTCTCTGTTCTTTTACTTAATATTAGTAGTAATGCTTTGGTTGATTCCAAACTCAAAATTTGTTGTTTCTAGGTGTTGTCAAATTATGGGCCGTAGCGAGCAAGATGAGTTGTCAGCCGCCCAAATTCTTTACCCATGCATGCAGTGTGCTGACATATTTTTCCTCAAGGTGCTTCTGCTTATGAATGTTATATTTTCTGATCCTACCCTTTTAATAACGAATTTTAGGCAGATTTATTTGCACAGCTTAATGAAAGTTCGACTGACACTTACTGTCCTGAGAATTTCTAGTAATTATTCACCTGTTTTTCTGTCGCACTCGCATACAGGCACGCTAAAATGTTTGTGTAATATTTTAATGTTTGTCATCTCTTAATGCTTGGCATGCTATAAAGTGATTCTCTTTTGGTGGAAAGGGCAATTTTCTTGACTGTTTTTCTCAGTATTGCTTTTGGTCCTTGCATTTCTTACTTTTTTTTTTCCTTTTTAATATTCTTCTCGAGATCAACATAGATTACTTCTTATTTCTTATTAGTTCATCCAGTATCCACCAAGTGTTACACTAGCACAGTTAGCACATTCTATGAGAAATTTTTAAGCTGTAAAACTAAATTTGTTTTTGGAATCCTTCGTTGAGACTAACATGGATCCGTTTCTAAATGTAAAATTCTAGCATGATTACAGTCCTGCTCAGAAACAGTATTTTCATTGTATAAAGTCTCTATCATGGCCTCATTGTCGGTTGCTCATTTTAGATTAAATTTCTCTCTTAAAATTGGAAAAAATATTCAAATTTGTTGTTGACACTGGATCTATACCGTGTTCGTGGCATACCTTGATATCAACCATGTAAAAGCTTATTAGGTTATTTTCTATGGGACATCAATAGATAGTTTTTTCTAATTGAGAAGTTCTTTGACATCATTTGGTATCCTTTCCTTTGAGAGTTTTATTGGGACATTATTGGATATTTGTTTCTCAATGTTATTCTTTGATTCATGTTGTTCCAGTCCTGTCAAAATCAAGAAAAGTTTCAAATTTTGATTTAAGTTCCAAATGTACTATAAATGATCAGCTACAAAACCATTTTTGACAGTTTAAATGAAGAATCACTGTTCAGGATCCAGCATGGTTTGCTATAGATCTCCTTCCACTTTTTTGTAGTGCAATTCTGGACTATTTTTACAAGCTGTATCCTTGCTTGTGTAGATTGGATGTTTTCTGATATGTTGTAATGAAACTTTTTTTTTTTTAATCTAAGAGTGAAGGAATTACTTTATGTGAACAGGCAGACATTTGCCAGTTGGGCATGGATCAACGGAAAGTCAATGTACTTGCAAGAGAGTACTGTGATGACATAAAGAGGAAAAGCAAACCAATTATTTTGTCTCATCGTATTGTCCTACTTCAATGTCAATTTTGGCTCTTTTTCTCATTTCTTTTCCTTTTATCTTAGTTGCTTTTGGTTTCCATGTCATGCAGATATGCTACCTGGTCTGCAGCAGGGACAGGAGAAAATGTCCAAGAGTGATCCATCATCATCGATCTTCATGGAGGATGAGGAGGTAGTCTGTCCTTCAGTCATGGGATTCATAACTGGGGTTTCTTTCTATCAAAGTACTCAGAAAGCATGTAATGACGGATATTAATCTTTAGTCATGTTCTGATACTTTCTTATGATTCATGTCACAGGCAGAAGTGAATGTGAAAATAAAGAAGGCATACTGCCCCCCTAAAATTGTTGAGGGGAATCCATGTTTGGAATACATCAAGTACATCATCTTCCCATGGTTTAATGAGTTTAGGGTGGAGCGCAATGCAGAAAATGGTGGTGACAAGTTAGTGGTCCCATATCTTACGTCATTTGTATTCCAGCATAAGAATGAATGAAACTAATGCTTATACTTTCACAATTTAAGTTTGGAAACTTTTTTAACTCCCTTTATTTGTTTAACATGACATTTTTTTTTTGTAATTTGTCTTTTTCATACTATTTTAGAGGGCATGGCATTAATGTATTATCATTTCATTCAGGACTTTTAAAAATTTTGAGGAGCTTGTTTCTGACTATGAAAGTGGGGAGTTGCATCCTGGTGATTTGAAGCCTGCTCTTTCGAAAGCTTTAAACAAGATACTACAGGTAAGCACATTTTAGATGATTTATTTCTGTTAATAACTAGGTAAGGCCTGAACAAAACCCCTAAAACCCTCTGCCAACACTATCCTGTTGCAACTGAGTCAGGTCCCTAGCAGAACCGCAGTGTTAGAATCTTTTGGTTAAAGTATATAAATTTTAATAGGATAGAGTACCTCTGCTTGATTAGCTACACCAGGCTTTATATGAACTTTTATTTTATCCTTGATTATTCCAATTTTGAGTTTTTTTTTTGGGTGCACTTGTCCTCTCTTCATATTTGATATTTGGTATCTCACTTTGATTTTCTTTTTCCTATTTTGGGGTTATATAATGAGCAGAAAGATGTTGCACTGCATTGTGTAAATGCTGTACCGGGGGCAGCTAATAACGAAAACAATGCATGTGACTTTTAGTGACTGTTAATATAACATCATCACTTTCAAGAAATTTTGCTTATGCCCTAATGAAAAAGAAAAAAAAAAGCAAAGGGTAGTTAAATATGCCAACAAAATTTAGTAATATATACTAGAAGAAAGAGGACTCTTGCGCGAAGTAATGGCTTGGTGAACCTTACATAGATAAAGGTAACTAAAGCATTTTGGTCTTTATTTGTATTTTTACAATTATCTTATCCTGAAAGACTTGAAGAAACTGAACAGATTAATTTGAGTTAATTATGAAATAATCAAGGTCAAAGGTATAAACTATAATGTATTATTAATTTAGTTGCTTCTAATGTTTGGTTTGATATTATAAATAACCAGTGCTTAATAAAATGTCCTTTTCAAAAATTTGTGAAAAATTGTTTAGTAACCAGAATGGGGAATTCTTGAATGAATGGTTATTCAATTACATGCCGTGTCACTCCCCAATATTTGCTGTGTCTTCTTTTCCCATTCTTCTTGGCAAAAGGTTGGCAAATTACACGGTTAAAATGGGGAATTCTGATATTTGCTTCTATGTTTTTTGTACTTGTGTTGGTATTCATGTGGTGCCACTTTTGAAAAATAAAGTGTGAGAACTGGTGGCTTATCATATAGTGTATCTGAGGTGTTGTCATCAGGAAACATAATGCCAATCAGCTTGTCTAACTCATGAAATACCCTGTCATGGCACTACAAGGCAGTGGGTTTTGACATGTTGAAAATGAGGTGTCTCATGTTAGGTTGATGACCCCAGTGGTGCCGCTCTGACACAACCGTGGTTGAACACATTATATCATTTACTTGCCTGTGAATTAATTCTTTTATCTGTCCTTTGTGTACAGCCTGTGCGCAATCACTTTAACAATGACGCTAAGGCCAAGGATTTGCTGAAACGGGTTAAGGTATTGTTGCTTATTCCTTCATTCCCTGCATTTTAATTATGATCTTTTTCATGGGGCATGCAGTGTTTGACACACTGACATTTCAATTTGTATGAAACTTGACTTCTTATTTTTCCGATCATGCAGAGCTACCGCATCACCAAGTGATCACAAGGAGAACGATAACCTTGTGCTCAGTAGGATTAATTAACATTTTGCTTTGTTTTGTTTTCATTCAAATGAAACGTTGCCGCCTTGTTATATACTTGTTAAGATAGCCAACAACCTAAGGTTTGATTTGGGTATTACTACCCTTTATATTCTCTATCACTAACATGAAAGTTGGCTATAAAGTAACTGTGCTCAAATTGAAGAATCAAGTTTGAGACTTATTTTGAGCAGGCATTTTGTTCCACTTGTTTAATGCGATGGCAAAACTGTACTGTTTTCATAAAGTTAGTTAAGAATTGTTGTTGCGATTGAAAAATATTGTTATACCGGGTTTTCCTATCATCATCCCCATCTCGAACCGCAAAAGCAGACACAGCGGGGGAAGAAGTTACTTGCTCGGTGACAATACTTTGCGTGGTCCTTCCCCCATCGAAGAGCCACGTATCCAGGGTTGACCACATCATCACTCTTTTATCAAGGTGTGGCCACGATCTCAATTGGGTCAGTCTTAAGTATGTCCAAGCTTGACAATAGCAGTGGAGATTTTGAGTCCCTCGGAACGCAACTCCCTTATGAGGTGGAAGTCGGATTAAATTCGATTCAATTTTATTGAATAATGCATAATATTAAGAAATTTTAAAATTTAAACTGATATTTTGAGTTTTAACTATTAAAATTTGAATTTTAAAATTATTAAATAATATTTTTTAAAAAAATAATTATATAAATTAATTGAATTAAATTTTGAATTTATTTTAGTATAAAGTAATAATTGTCCACAGAATGTAATCCATTACCATGAAATTTTAGGACGAAAAATTTGCCACCTATATTTAAAACTCAAAAGCTAAATCTTAAAATAATAACATTACATTGATACTTGATAGATAATTGAGTATTAATCCACAGTAAGTTTAGTTAATCAATAACTTCTTTCATCCTTTCATGTTTAGTTAATCAATAGCTTAGTTAAAACGTGGAAAAGTCCTATATATATATATATTTTTTTTCTATATAAGAAATTGAAGTGAGAAAATTAAAATTAAAAGTATTAAAAGTACTAAAATTCGAATTATAAATTTATTGAATATTATTTTTATAAGTAATTGTGTTAATAAACTAACTTAAAGATTCAAATTTATCATTTCTTGTTATATAGAATGTATATAAATATATACATATATATATATATATATAAATTAACTACTGTTGTCAACTTGCTTAATTTGTTTGTTCTTTGTCACAAATGGAATTTCTTGCTTCAGGGCCATTTCCCATCATCTTCTAAGAAAACTCAAAATCCAATAGATAATTAAGTAAGCTGAAAATCAGAAATTAACAATAATATTTAATAAATTAATTTTAATACTCATAAAATTTTTATTATATCCGGAACGCGACTTTCTTTATAAAAAATAAATTGAAAATGTAGAAATTAACTAGTGATTTTGTGTGAAAAAAACCAAAGGGCGCTGATGATTCTTGAGGCAGTTGCAAGCTATGCATCTAATCCAATTATATTGTTTTATATATAAAATATGTAAATCGTCAATTATATGTGATGCATCTAATACAATTATATTATTTTATATAAATTATGCAAACCGTCAATTAATTATATGTGAATTAAAATATTATTTATAAAAATTAAAAGTGCTTCCAATTCTGCAAGTATCTCCCTCATTACTAAGAGTGTAAATGATATATTAATATTAATAAGTTATTCAAATTCGACTCGAATAAAATTCAAATTCGATTCAGTTATTATCGAATCAAATTCAAGCTCGAATAGCTCAACATATGGATCAAGCCGAATTCGAACATTTTTATATCTGACTTCAATAATTTGTTAGCCTAATCGAATTTTTATATTTTAATATATTTTAATTATTTTAATTGATAAAATATCTTGAACTCAAGTTCGAATTTGAATACAAATAATCAAATTTTTATTAAATATAAAAATTAAACTCATTTTTACATGTTAATCAAACTTAATCGAATAAATTCGAATAATTCGATATTTATCTCAAGTTAAAAAAATAAAATTCGATCGAATTCGAACTAAATTTTGAACTTTAAATTTGAAATTGAACTTGAATTTGAACTTAATATTATATTAACGTAAACTCAATCTATTACATCTCTACTCCCAACATTTTTTGTATCCCAACTCCACCTTTCATTGGAAATCATTCACTCACACAAGGGAGAGAGAAAAATAACTTTGATGGATTCAAAAAGTCAAGGAGATTGCCAGGCTTCAACAGTTCCTCAAGAAGTAGAAAAAGTTAGCAAATGAACCAAAGAACAGCACCAACAATAGCAATAGCAGCAGCTCCTCGCATCCGAACACCAGCACCAGCGGCGGCAGTAGAAGTATCAAGTTCCTTAAGAGAACACTCTCTGTCACAGACGTTCCAGCAGTGTCAGGTGACGGTGTCCCCAAAGGGTTCCAAGCTGTTTGCTGCGTATTAATGAGATGAAGAGATTTATCATCCCAACAGAGTACTTGGGTCATCAAGCATTTGGGATTCTGCTAAGAAAAGCGGAAGATGACTTTAGGTTTGAACAGGAAGGAGTGTTACAGATCCCTTGTGAAGTCCCCTTGTTCGAGAACATTGGGATTTTGTTGCTGCAGATGTGAATCTGCCACCAATGGACTGGAAAACAAGGTATCATATTGCGGTTGGCATTGCAAGAGGACTCCATTACTTGCATAAAAGGTGTCAAAGAAGTATAATTCACCGATTATATTTAACTTCATTTTTTTTTTTCAAAAATTACGGTTTATATTTAAAAAAAAAAAACATAACATTTAACTTTATTATATATATATATATATTTATAATATACTATCTAATTTTTAACATTATAAAAATTAAAAAAAAATTTTGTTATTTAATGATTACCACAACTTTAATTTTAATTTTAATAACATAATTAGCAGTTAAAATATTGATCAAATGTTATTCACATATAATGAATGACATTATAATAAACCGAGGCAAAATAACTCGATCCAAACCCGACACAATCAATGTTACCTACCGATACAATGAAATGAACCGAGTAAGAACAGTTTCATAGAACTAAATTCTATATCTATTTCAAAATTCTCAACAATTCGTCGTTACTAAAGAGCATCTATCAAACTACAGGAACTGTATCTAACCAAAAACCCACAAAAAGGACTTTTAGTTGATAATTTTCTACAAACTAAAAGTTACTCAAGGCACATCATGTGCTACAATATGTGCTGTTTCAGAAGTGCATCTTTCCATCTGAAACCCTGGATAAGTTAGATGATGATGATGATCAACATTATCAAGTTTATATTGCCAAATGCAACAATATTTTCGGATTAGTGTCCAATTCTCAATAATTTTTTTTTTGGTTAACTCCAACCAAACGGAACCTAAAAGCGATTTGAGTTGATTACTGTTTGCCATGAATGTGACCACCACCTATATTACATTGCTAAAAATGTGAGTTGATTACTATTTGTTGATGTAAGAGAATGAAAGATGTCAATCTTATAGTGGTTTAAAATAGTTTAACACCCAATACTTTTAATTTAAAAAAATCCCATGGGCATCATATTCTTAATTATCGTTAAAGACTATGAGGAGATCTAACTCACATCAAAGAGGCTTGTAAAGAACCAAACTTTCATCATCTTGAATAGCGATCTACAAGGGCTTTAGCTTTCTCTGGGGCGAAAAATCGAGCCTGCACATAACACCAAAATTTTAGCTGGAAAGATTTTTCATTCATATGCAGTGCAAATGACGATAAACATCTTATATTTTACTTGTGAAAATGATATCATTTTTCTTTTTATATTTTTCCCAGGTTCTTTCTCGGAAAAACTTGTCTTTCTTTGCCAAAAATTGAACTTCGTAAACAAATTGCTATAGTAATTCATCCATGAACACATTGATCCAAATCCAGCAATTTTAACTTAACACCAAAAATAGTTAATAAAAAAAAAGAATATTAAATTGCATTAGGAGGAATATCATACTTTGACTACAATGAATTCCTCAAAGCAATATTTCAATTATGAAGACCCTTTTTAGCTTTGAAAATATCTAAAGAAGATGTCAAGCTCGTCAATTGTGTATGGCAAAAACAAGTCTTGACAATAGATAGAAAAATAGAGCATGCTAATGCACATGTTTGGGCAGAGATTTTCATTTCAAATCAGAAGATTATGGAGATAACAGTAAGGTGATGGGAGATCTCAGAGAGATGAGGGAAGAAGGATCTTAGGACTTAGTGAAATGCATCCCTTGTCTCTAAGGACATTAAACCTTTCTTCCTTAATCAAGGTTATGTTTTCTGATTGTTATCCTAACTAGAACTAGATTTTACTATTCTAGGCCAAATTATTTTTAGCCATGTTACTCCCAACACATCATAATTAACAGGAAAACACTCACAAGACTTTTTAGTCAATTACAGGACAGATCTAGAAAACAGAGACTTGATTGAACAAAATAAAGAGTAGCTCCCAAAAGATTGAACCCTTTGTCATATCTCTCTCAGGGTGTTACTCCAAAATTGTCTAGCAAGAGAGAGAGAGAGAGAGAGAGAGTACTTAAATGCGGAAAGTATCCAGTTTCTGAAGAGTTCAACACTAACATAAAAATAGAGAGCAAGAAAGGCCAAAAATATAAAAAGACCGAAAAGCGGTATTCTCGGATATTTACGACTAGTTTAAGCTTTTAGGGCAACACAGTTCTCACATTGATATAGTACTATTACCAATTAAATCAAACAACTAAGATGAAGAATCTTCCAGCAGATATCTTAAATTAAATAGTAGTTCAAGCAAGTCTGATGGTTGCCCAAATTTGTTGCATATTGGTTCTAGGTTGGATGCCATAAAACGTATCAAAACCCAGTTATTGTTGCTTTCTGTCATTGTTTGTTCTTTGTTGCCCTGTATTAGTTGGCAACATGGTAAACCCATTTGTTTCAGACGTCAGTATTGGCCCCACAAATACGGTTGAGTATGAAATGAAATTATCCCACATTAGTTAGTTTTAGAGTTTTTCTTCCAGCCTTATATGGGTTGGATCTGTCCACCTATAGCCCTTTGGTTTTAGGGTAGATACCCAAGAGGAGAGATATAAGGGGGAAGACCAAGGAAATCTTCCTATGTGGCAGTCTCCTAATTATAACTTTAGGACATTCTGATCAAGAATATCATTTAATTAGACCA